TTTCTGTCTTTTTATTGGATTTCAGTTCATCTACATGAGATTAATGTAAATACAACATTATTTGTCCAACACTATGAAGTTATTTGGTAGATTGATAAGATACAGAATTTACAAATAAGAATTGTGATTTTTCATACACTGAAATCAAACCTTTATATTTTCCAAAAAAGACCAGTGGTGTTTATTTTTAAATCTGCGCTGCTGCTCAAATTCTCTACAACAAGAAAATATACAGACACATAAAAGCCTTAGAAACCACATAAACAATATTCTGACAGCAAACAAATTAAACTCATAGCTTTGAGTTCAAATGAATGTCAAATAAATGTAGAATCTGTGGTTCTTTCTCAGTCCAGTTTCTGTTTATATCAGCAAATCAAAAGGAGTTCATCAATACAAATCTCCTCTTCAGGATCTGAGCTCAAAACAAAAAAAAGAAAATAGCAGCCTGGTTGAAACAGGCCGGATGTGATTTTGAAAACAGACTCTTTGATCCTCTTTAATCCTGTCTCAATTAGTTTTTCTTCAGTTTGTTCCTGACGGTGAAACTCAGTTGTCCTCCATCATGGCAGCAGCCAGCATCTCTCGCTCTGGATCAGCAGCTCTGGGCTTCGAGGATTATTCTCTCTACAGTAACCTGAGCGAGGATGAACTGCTACAGCTTGCCATCGAGCGTAGCCTGACCGACGCAAACTGCAGCAACGCCAACGCAACCTGCAATGCAACCGACAACCCAACCAGCAACACGGCTCCTGCCCTCACACCTCCTCACCAACCTGACAGAAGCCTGAACCCTGCAGCCAGAGACGCCAACCAACCCAGACACAGCTCCCATAATCCACCTGCAAACTACACGTCCCATAATCCACCTGCAGCCCAGACCATTGTTCATTACAGTTCTCCAAATCCTCCGAGTGAAAAGCCTCCTGATCTGTACGTGATCTCACACAGTTCATCTCTTGTTCCCGAATAATTGAAGAAATGGAGACTCTGCTTAGAGAATTCAGAGTGACAATGCTTCATATCAAAGACTGTGTTGATGATTCAGGTTTAAACTAAGATTGCGATTGTGGTCGGATTTAACAAATACAGAGATGGCTCCAGCTCAGGCAGATGATTGTATATGTAAATAAGTACAGGCATACATGGGATTATCCTGCACTAAAACACAGAGGTTGACAGCTCATCTGTCTTAAAGTTAGACCTGAACCAAAATTCATCCTTTGAGTCCTGAATCCTCAGTGAAAGTTAAACTGGGACTAAAATCAGTGGTGAAAATAAAAGAGAAGAAAACTTGACTCAGTTGTGTGAAATGATCTTAGTCATCCTTCTATACCTTCTATACGTCTGAGCTCGACTTTCATCACATCTCATCTTCTTCATTTTTTTTAATGTATGTTTCTGTTTTTCATTTGATTCCTTCTTAAGTTTTAACTTAATGTTCTAATAGTTGAATGTGAACTGAACGTTTTCTACTCTTTTATTTTAACTGTCAGTGAGGATTCAGGACACAGAGAATGGCTCTGGGTCCAGGTCTAACTTTGAGACAGATGAGCTGTCAGCCTCTGTGCTCTGATTGTCTGTTGAATCAGTCTCTGTGCTCTGATTGACTGTTGAATCAGTCTCTGTGTTCTGATTGGCTGTTGTCTTGCTGTTTTGGCAGGAAGACGTTTGATGGGACAGTCAGTCGCTTCATGACGGGATCAGGGAAGAGGATGGTAGCTTATCGCAGAGCTGACGGCACTCTGGTTCACATCGCTCCAGAACCTGAGGAGTAAGTTCTGTTCATAAACCAGGTCTGTGCGTGGAAGCACCCGTATCACCTGTCATTTCATCTCTGTCACCTGTTGTTTCACATGTATCACGTCAATAAGGGAAACCATCAGGTATGACTGGTTATTACAGGAAGGTCCATGAAAAGGTGTGGTCAGGTGGGAATAGGTGGGACAGGTGTCTGATGGGTATTTTCCCTGCAGGGAGGAGGAGCCTCTGTTCAGAGCGATCAGTGTTGGAGATGCGAGCAGAGTGAAAGCTTTAGTGATGAGTCCAGGAACAAACCTGATGCTGCCGAGTAAACCAGGCTGGCTTGCTATTCACCAGGCGGCGTGGTACGGCCAGGACACCTGTCTGAGAGTCCTGCTGTCAGGTAGAAACACACCCAGACAGAGACATCACAGTCCAGAGCAGAGAAGAAATTTGTCTGTGTCTCTGTGCTCAGCTCAGCCTGGGATGATCAACAAGCGAACGGAGCGTGGAGAGTCAGCGCTGCTGGTTGGCGTCAGCAAAGACCAGCTACGATGTGTTCAGGTGCTGCTGGAAAATGGAGCTGACCCTGACATCACAAACTACGAAAGAGAGACTCCACTCTATAAAGGTAGCACTGTCTTCTCTTTCCTGTCCAGACTTTAGTAATAAACACTTCAGTATTAGATACAATACTTCACATTGTTTGCTTCATTTTTCTGTTTTATTGTTTAGAAGAATAAACTTGCAGCTCTGTAATCATCCCTTTACCTCTCCTCTTCCTCCTCCTCTCCTCCTCTTCATCTTTCACTCATCCTCCCCTCCTCCCTCAGTCTTCCACTTCTCCTTCCTCTCCACTGATTTGTTTTTCAGGCAGTCATATTCTCCATCTACAATTTGTAAAACCAGTTACAGAAGCGGCCCACATCACACCTGCTAAACAAATATGTTACATTAAAAATTATGCACTGTATTTGTATTTGTACCTGTCACCTGGTTCATACCCTTCCCCTGATTCTGAGTGTGATTCTGACCCTGATTCTGACCCTGGGCTTACCTCCTGGCTTGAAAAGTCATCTTTTTTTTGTGGATTCACTTGACACTTGATCGTTTCTGGTGGAGTTTTACAGTTTTGCAGTATTTTTTTTGAAAAGCAGGCATGCAGGTTGGCAGTGGAAGAAGAAGAGTGATATGAAGCTGCAGCGAGCAGCCAGTTCCCTCTGTTGGCCTAAACAAACACAACATGAGACGTCTGCTCCGCTGCCCCCTCGTTCTCTCTGGTCTGCTCTTAATTCACAATTACAGTGGGGACAGCTCCAGCTGGAGACAGGCCACCAAGGACAGGGACTATCCCAGGAAAACAGGAATGTCTGGTCACCCTAACCTATGACCTGGACTTTGTAAGCCTGCTATTAAAACTTCTTCACCGGATCAGCCTGTTGAGTCTGCATTCATTCACCCTGCCCTTTCCTGCTACCACTGTGACATTACAGATTACCATCCCCTATTCTGCCTCTAGACTCAGAGTAGGTCCATTCAAGTCCCAATCCCAAGTCCTGATCCTCACACCGAAACTCAGAGTAGCTGCCAATCCTGACACTTAAACTCAGGGTAAATGGTGGTACTGAATACGTGAAACTGTGACTTAGAACAGTGGTTAACTGACTTCAGTGATGTTATATTATTTTAAAAGACACCTGACAGCCAATCAGAGAACAGGATTGTGGATGTGTGGTGGTGTTTTTTCGTGACCTGTCCCTGAACGTTTCATGCCTTCCTCTGCAGCCTGTGAGAGGAACAGTGCTGCGATGGTGGCAGTGTTGTTGAACCATGGAGCTGCGGTAAACACTCACTGTATTCAGGGTTGGACGGCACTGCAGGAAGCTGTGGTTCGAAACAACGTGGAGATCTGTGAGATGCTGCTGAAGGCTGGAGCCAAACACAGCCTCACCAACATGTATGGCATCTCACCACTGTTCAGCGCTGCTCAGACTGGGCAGGCCGCCACGCTGCGCTTCCTCCTCAAACATGGTAAACTCACCAGAGGGTTTATTATTGTTATTGTTTATTATTAATGTTATTGTTTTACTGCTACTGCTAACTGCTACCAAAGTAGGCAAGTCTTGCCATTCGACTGCCACCTTGGCAATGCCCTTGGGAAAAAGACCAGGCTCATATCTTAATGAGAGGGTGGAGTCACAACTGCACTTGTCACTGGGAAATAAAAGTGCATGTACAAAATTACCAACTGTTTAAAATGCTTTTTCTTCTCACAGGTTATACTTATACTATGCATGTGCATGATTGTGCAATAACACAACTGGCTTGATTTGCTTCTGGTTCAGGATTCTTTAAGTGGTTTGTGACCCTGAAAATGTCTGTCCACCGGCGGCCCACATCCACTGATGAGGGAAACACTAATTTCTTATAACACTTTTAGTGGTTGGGGCCAGTGGAGAGGTATCAGTTTAAATACTGCTACTTCAGAATGATGTTTACAGTCCACCTGAAGCTTTACCTGTTCTCTGCAGGTGCAGATATCAACAGTCAAGCTGCTGATGGAGCCACCGCTCTGTATGAAGCTGCTAAAAATGGACATGAGGAAATTGTGAAGCTCCTCCTCTCACAAAACGCAGACGCCAACAAACCTGGAAAGACCGGATTATTACCACTTCACATTGCTGCCCAGAGAGGAAGTGACATGTAGGCACTTGTTATTATCACCTTCATTTTAATATCTTTTAATAATTGCTGACCTCCTGAGGATGTCAAAGACCATGTTTGTGGGGGAACGAGAACTGGATTTCACCAGACCAGAGAGGTGTTGCTGATATGTACTTGACAAGGTTCAAAACCAGCATGGTTCTAGATTTTTTTAGGTTCTGATGTGATAGGGTTTAACATTGAAATAATGATAACTGATCACTACAATTTAATAAGAGGGACAAACTATCTGAATAATAATAATAATAATAATAATAATAATAATAATAATAATAATAATAATAATAATAATTATCTCTGTTTGTCCAGGTACAGAGGTTTACAAAGGTCCTCAGGATCAACAGCTGTGTAGAGCTGGGTGTTGTCTGCATAGCACCGAATATTAAAATCCACTTAGTCCAAACTTACTCAAAGGCACCACCTGGCACAAAGGTAAATATGGAATATAAACATAAAGAATCCAGGTGAAAATAAATCTGTTCACTAAATAAATAATACTGAAAAATAAAAAGTGAGGTCCCATTTTGTTTATTTAACCTTTATTTAACCAACAGGTCTCTTGAGATACATTTTGATTATGAAAGTAAATAGTACATGTGAGGAGGTTACTGCTGGTTTCCTGTCAGCTGATGTTAGCTCAAGGTCACAGGTCAGTCAGGGGTCAGTCAGGGGTGGGTCAGGGCTAAATCCTGTGGTGTCTCCTGTTTCCAGTATAGTGTCCTTGTTGATCTCAGCCACCAGTAAGGCCAGAATCAGGCGGACCGGGATCAGCCCTCTCCACATGGCGGCTGAGCGTAACCGTGATGAAGTGCTCGAGGCTCTGATTGAGGCGGGCTTTGACGTAAATGCACAGCTGTCTGAAGAAAGATCAAAGCTGTATGAGGACCGCCGCAGCACGGCGCTCTACTTCTCTGTCATCAACAATAACATCGACGCTGTGCGCATGCTGTTGACAGCTGGTGCTGACCCCAACCTGGACGCGTTCAAGCCGCTGATGGTGGCAGCGAGGCTGGGCTGCATCCAGACTGTCACCCTGCTAGTGGAGCATGGAGCAGACATCAATGCCTCAATCCCCACTCACCCCACTACCTTCCCCGCCGTCTACATGTTCTCCATGAAGTACCTTACCATGTTCAAGTACTTGCTGGACCACGGAGGCCACGCCCTCTCCTGCTTTGGATGTGTCTATGGCAACAAACCTCATCCACCAATAAAAACCACCCGATCAGAGAGGGACGACCTGACAGAGACGCTGCCAAGGAGAGGCGTTCAGGTGACCAATACTATGACTTTTTAATATCTTACTATACTATGACTTTTTATGTCTTACTATGTTTAATAACTTAGCATACAATTACGTTTTTTTTCATTTTATGACATATTACACTTTGACTTTTTTTATGCCTAAGTATACTAAGACGGTTGATGCCTTACTCTACGATGGTGTTTTATGACTTATTATACTATGATGTTTTTATGCTTTCCTTTACTATGACGTTTTTATGACGTTTTTATACCTTAATATACTATAAAATTTTTTATGCCTAAGTATACTAGGACATTTTTTGACGTTTGATGCCTTACTATACTATGACCATTCATTTTATTCCTTAAACTATTACGTTTTATGACATTTATGACATACTGTACCTGCAGTTTTTTGACATTTTATACCTTAGTACACTTGATGTTCTTTGACGTTTTATGCCTTACTATACTATGATGTTTTATGCCTTAGTATTCTACAATGATTTTTGATTTTTATACCTTGGTATAGTATTACATTTATACACGTTTTTATGTCTTACTATACTATGAGGTTTTATTCCTCCTGGTAATATGACATTTTTTGACATTTTTTACGCTGCACTATACTGTGCCTTATGACATATAAATGACATGTGATGTTATCATGTGTCACCTATAAGAGGCTATATTATTATGACATATATACATCCTCTGGATATATGAAGATATAAGTTTATACCATATATCAAATACTCATAGTAAAATGCTACTTTATTAAAACAATATTCTTATTGAAATTATATATGTTTGTGTATGATTTTCTTAATAATGTCTTATTAAATTTAAACATACAGGTCTATCTTTTACATTTCAATATATAATGTATACTTACAGGCTTTGGGATGGGATGTGATCATGTAACATTGTTTATGCCGATAATATAAACAGACATATGAAAATACATGTTTCTATTAGGTAGACATATATGTCAATATATGATATTGTTCCAATTTCTAATAGGTTTCATATGTAATTTTTACATATATAGGCTATACTTTAAATACATATATGATTATACTTCATACGTACACATATTTCATTTATGGAAATTCAACACATGTACATAATATTACATTTGTGTATAGGTATTCCTGAATGTAAATTCAGATCTTATATGTTAATAAACTGTTTGATTGACGTCATTAAAATGTCAATCTCTTTGTCTTGGACGGAGGCGGGATTCTTGCGTCCCTACCAATGTTGAGACCAAACCTACCTGCTGAGTTCAGGTGACCTGAGTTTAAAACATTTAAAACATGGCTGAGGAGAGGCGTTCAGGTGACCTTTCAGGTTTAGAATGTTTAATAACGGGCTACATCTACATTGATGTTTGATTGATTGATTGATTGATTGATTGATTGATTGATTGATTGATTGATTGATTGATTGATTGATTGATTGATTTACAGTTCTGTGAGATGATTTCAGTCCCCAGTATCTGTCGGTGGGCGGGGCCAATCATTGACATCCTACTGGACTACGTTGGTCATGTGACTCTGTGCTCCAGACTGATGGAACACCTTGACAGTTACTCTGACTGGAGTGTCATCAAGGAGAAAGCAGGTGAGTCAATAACTGATCAATAACTGATAATAACTGAATTCAGCCTCGACTGTTTGATGGAGTTTAGACTGAATCTCGACACATGAATGTTTTAGTTCAAGATGAATGTAAACAGGTAAAATATCCACAGACAACACCTGCGTGAATATGACTGGATGTTACTACACAGTTGTGAACAAGCCACTTACTGGTTTGTCTGGTAGTTTTACAGGTTTTACTGGTTTGTGTTTTGTTCCAGCTCCCCCGCGGCCACTGATGCAGCTCTGCAGGCTGCAGATACTGCAGCTGGTTGGAAGTCGACGTGTGAAGAAATTAACGCTTCCTGGAGGTTTGATCCGCTTCCTGCAGCACCAAGAGGGCTTGCTGGACGACTGCTGACTTACAACTGAGACTGTTGGAATCTTAGACATTCAGCAGGTTGAAGCTGATGTTGTTTAACTGCAGTTTCTCTCAAAACTAAAAGCTGTTTGATGAAATCACTTGTAAATGTGTATATCAGCTCTTTCTAGTTGTTTCCAGCTGTTTCCATATGTGTCCAGGGAGCGTCAGCTCCTCTATCCTAAACACCTGAAATGTTCGTTATTTCTTTAATTTTGATGGACTGAAAAAGATCAGTTTTACAACATTAGTCTAACCCCAATGCATTTGTAATTAACCTTCAGTGTCTGTGAAGAATTTATTAAAACAAACGAAGCTCAGATAATACTTTATAAAATTTCAATAAAAGCAATTGGACCCACTGCAAACTGGCAAAACTAAAACTAAGTGACAATAACACATGCTGGAGATAGAAGTGGGCACTGTTGTACCCTGTTGCAGACACTATGTGGAAAGAGCTTGTGTTTTTTCTGAATAAGGTTTTAGGAACACATTTGAACAAATCCCACTTTGTGTTTATTTGGGTTTTTGCCACATAATATCAAACTGTCACAACGCAGGAGGTTGTGGTTTTGTCTAGCTGTGGTTACTGGCTGTAGAATTATTTGACATCACTGGAAATCCTCCTCTATGTCCAATTTTAACGAGTGGATAGATTTAATGTGTGACGTATTCACTGTGGGAGAGAGGATCTCTTTAATGAAGTTTGGGGCCCATTTTTTCTTGGTTAGAGAAACAGTGATATAAATGTTTGGTTTACATTTTATGTATATCTCACCTTTTGATAATATCTACTTTGGGCTTTGGTGCTGATGAACTCACCTGGATCACCTGTAACTGAACACAGTGATGATAGATCTCTGTATCCTGATTGATTGGCAATGTGAACTATTCATATAACAGCATGGGTTATTTATAATCATTGATCAATATGTCTAGGGTCTTCTGATTGTATCAAGGACTGTTCAGGGCTATTTTTTGATTAATTTTTTGTTTTGTTTTTTATGTACAAATTGTGAATGTGGCTTTGGTCACTTGACTTATATTCAGCATAATTATTACTGATGTTGCAGAGACTGGTCTTGTGAGGTTGTTACCAGATTTTTTTTGTTTGTTTGTTTTTGTTTTCTCTTGTCTCTTAGTGTTCTGCTTGTTTAAAAAAACAAAACAAACAAAAAAGCAGACAAAATGACAGTTTGTAACCAATCTGTATGGTAGATGAATGTCCATCAAAAATGTCAATAAAGAACTAAAATAAACAAAGCTGAGAGACATGGAGACATCTAATTAACACAATCAGCATGAAGCCATTACTGAGGGAAGATGAACTGAGTGACATTCACATTTAAAGCATCATGGTTTTATATTGATGATGATGATGATGATGAAGATGTGACTGTAGTCACATCCATTATCAGTCTGATCCCTGACTCCTCTGAGACAGAGTCACTGGTGAGTCACAGGATAATCAATCAGTTTAATGATCAGCTGGATCAATATCCACACAGTGATGTCAGAGCTGAGTGTGTTTATGAGACATGAAATGGGCAGAGTCTCCACGGAAACAGAGATCAGATACTTTCACGTGTCATTACAGGGACCTGAGGTGGTTTTAATTAAAGCAGTCTGACAGTTTAATTCACTGATCACTGCTCATGAACCCGAGGCTATTCATCAGTGAACGACATTTATATCTATACGTTTAAAACTATTTCAATACAAATATCTACAAATAACCCCAATCTGATAACAGAGTTACAGACTCACACAGCAGGTCAGTGAATGCATCACACATGACAATAATGAGTTAGGTTAGGGTTAGAGTTCCAATTAAGATTAGGTTTAAGATAAGGTTAGGTTAGAATTAGAGTTGGGTCTAAAGTTAGTTAACACATTACACACATTGTCAGCCACAACACAACGATAACAACAACACAGCAATAACAACACAGCAATAACGACACAACACAACGACACAACAACACAGTAATATCAACGACACAACACAACAACACAGTAATAACAATGACACAACACAACGACACAACAACACAGTAATATCAACGACACAACACAACAACACAGTAATAACAATGACACAACACAACGACACAACAACACAGTAATATCAACGACACAACACAACAACACAGCAATATCAACGACACAGCACAACGACACAACAACACAGCAATATCAACGACACAACACAACGACACAGCAATAACAACGACACAACACAACAACACAGTAATAACAATGACACAACACAACGACACAACAACACAGTAATATCAATGACACAACACAACGACACAGCAATAACAACGACACAGCACAACGACACAACAACACAGCAATATCACCGACACAACACCAAGACACAGTAATAACAATACCACAGCACAATGACACAACAACACAGCAATATCAACAACACAGCACAAAGACACAAAAACACAGCAATAACACTAACACAAAACAACGACACAGCAATAACAACGACACAACACAACGACACAGCAATAACAATGACACAACACGACACAGCAATAACAACACAACAACACAGCATTAACAACGACACAACACAACAGCAAAACAACAAAGCAATAACAACACAGCAATAACAACAACGCAGCAATAACAACGACACAACACAACGACACAACAACACAGCAATAACAACAACACAACAACACAGCAATAACAACGACACAACACAACAACAAAACAACAAAGCAATAACAACAACACAGCAATAACGACACAACACAACGACACAACAACACAGCAATAACAACACAGCAACACAACAAGACAACAACACAGCAATAACAATGACACAACACAACAACACAGCAATAACAACAACACAGCAACACAACAACACAGCAACACAGCAATAACAGTAACACAGCAACACAGCAACACAACAACACAACAACACAGCAATAACAATGACACATGACAACAACACAGCAATAACAACACAGCAAGAACAACAACACAACAACCAGCAGTAAGTAGTAAGTCACAACCCAAGTTTATTTACATCATTAATAAAACACATGAACTACATCACAACAAAAATAATTGACAGGATGATGGAGAGATGACAGGTCTCCTGCTAAAATGGTAATAATACGGAGCTGTACCTGAACACACCATCTCAGCTGTTTTTTCATCTGTTCAGGGAAGAAGAAAAGTGAACCCCCTTCACACACACACACACACACACACACACACACACACACCCTCCTCACTTCTTCTTGCGATCTGGATCAGACGGACATGAAGCCGTGTCTGTTCGTGGACCACAGCTCTGCTGACTGATCTGGTCTCTGGTCTGATCCTCAGTCTTGGTTCTGGACTAATCTGGACTGATCCAGGATCAGGTCTGCTGAGTGTTTTCAGGATGATGTTGAGTTTTTTCCTCATGCTGTTTTTCCGTGTCTTCCAGGTGAGATCTGTTAAATGAATGAAGTCCAGGTCTTAGACTGAGTCAGTCTGGTCCAGGTTATTTTATCTAGATTATTTACAGTCTGTAATTAATGACTTAATTAACAGTTGATGAGCTGTAACATCCACAGACGCGTGGTGAAGATGTCTAATTATTGATCTATGAAGCATCAGTAAATTATTTATTAATGATTGATGAATCATTCAGCTGATAAACAATGACATATTTTAATTAATTATTTAATTAATATCATCACAGCTCGTCAAACATCTATAATTTACCATTAAACGAACCTTTGCTCCCACAGACTCTGCTGCTGTTTCCTTCACAATATTAATTAGATTGATTAGTGTTCTTTCACTTTAGCTGATATTTCAGATCAATAGTGTTTCAATGTTAAAACCAATTGATCCAGTAATGAATGTCTTTAAATAAGGGTTAAACCCTGAGTATTGTCTGCAGGTACTTCCTACACTTGTAAGGTAGGGCAGACTGTGAGTAACCTGACAGGTAAAACCCAGGGCAGAAAAGTTTAAATAAAAAGTTAATAATTAAATGATGATTATTTAAGATCACCTGGTTTCTGTTTCCTGTCTGTCTGCAGGTGAGTTGGGGGGCGTGTCTAGAAAGCTGCCGTTGTTACATCCTATTACCTCCTCCCCCTCCTCCTCCCCCCAGAGAGCTGATGTTCACAGGTAATGCAGGTAAACACAGGTGTGAATGTTTGTCCAGGTGTACCTTACCTGTCACTCAATGATCAATATTATGTGATCAGCTGTTTGATATAATCAAAATGGATTTCAACACCTTTTCATTAAACAATTTGACTTTATGTTATTGATCACATTATTGATTATTTGATCCTGTTGATGTTTAATTAGCAGATGGTGAAATTACATAAAAACTGACCTTCAGGCTCTTCAGACTTTTTTGACCTTTGACCTCAGCATGTTAGATTAACTGTGTGGGTGGGATCAGATTTTGGCAATAATCTGACAGTTTAATTATCTTTGTTAAGAAGATCAGAAGCCTCTAAACCCCATCCCCGCCTCTGTGGTTGATAATCTGACAATCCGTCAGATTAAACTCTTCACATGGTCTTCATGATGCCTTCACTGTCTCCCAGGTTCAACAGCAGAAACGAACTAATCATCGTAGTCAGATTATAATCTGTAGCAACTGATCTAATGGTCATAATAAAGCCAGAGATCAGTGAACGCCCCACCGTCACAATGGGATCCATCTTGAATAATAAATAATAATCATAAATCAACAATAATGTTTCCGGAGCAGAAAAAGGTCACATAATGCATGCTGGGTAGATTTTCAGTGTATTGATCATATTGATTAATGATTCTGTACTTTAATCCTGTTTTTCTATCTGAAACCTCAATGAGAGACACGAGGACACTCTGTGGGTTTCAGTGATGTCATCAGTGATGTAATCCTATAATGGATTTGAAAAGTCATTATTATCGTAACGTTCAAACACAAAAAAACACAACACTGAATCAAACCCTGCTGTAAAGTGTCCACATCAGAGAGACAGCTGATTCTCTGGGTTTCTAATTGGCCAAAGAGTTCAGAGTTTAGATTTATACATGATCCTGCTTTTTAAACATAGAGACAGAGAATTCACACGTGTCCATCCTGAGTAAGACCGTTGTACTTTAACATGTTAACATGTTAACGAGTTAACACATACACATGTTAACACACAAACACATGAACATGTTAACATATAACATTATAGACAGTTGATTTCTTCTTGGTGCTGTATTGCAGTGTGGCCCTCTGCTGTTCCAGCTGTGAAGTCTGAACATCTGTCCATCCTGATGTTCATCATCTTCTCTGTATTATTGACCGTCTCTTTGATCATCATCACAGTCTGTTACAAATCAATGAAAAAGTGAGTCATGGTTTCATCAAATCTCTGCTTCAAATATAAAACTCTCTTCATTTACTGCAGGTATATCAGTATACTACTCCAGAGGCCTGTACTACGAAGCAGGATCTGAGGTTATCGAGGTCACTTCAGGTTTAAGTCTGTGTTTTCAGTCTTTCAGTCCTACGACAGTGGTTCACTTGTTACCGAGGTAAATCACCATGGTAACTGATGGTGAACTCCTGACCTGCTCCAGCGCAGGTTAACTTAGAGGATCAGATCAGAACCTGTCAACAGCCAAACTACTGACCAATCAGATCACTGGAAAAACTGAGTCATCATTCCTACAGGATCCTGACAGGGACAAAAGAGTTCACAATAAAGTGATCAATAATAACGATCAGTAGATATAACATATAGATCAGTGGAATCGTTTTCCTGTTTGAGTCTTTCCATGTGTCTCTCTGGTTTTAAACCAAAGCTTCTGCAGAATTCACAGTTTATCACTAAATAAAATCTAATCACTGTCAGAGCTTCATTTGACCTGAACACAGATTCTTTAATGGAGGATTCCTGCCAGTGATGAAGCTTTTACTCTCCTCTTCATCACTGAGCTCAGAACAACATGAGGAGACTCTGTGACACGACTGGAGAGAAACCTGAACCTCTGATGTCTTTGATTAGAACAATTAGCAACACACTGTTAATTATTTCATCATTAGAATGAACATTTCAACTACTCTCCTCCTCTTCCTCTCCTCTTCCTCTCCTCTCCTCTCCTCTTCCTCTCCTATTCCTCTCCTCTGCAGCAGAAACAGTCTGACATGAACTTTAACTGTTTTCTCTGTATCACATGTTCAGAACAGTTTGTTCATCATCAGACTGAAGAGTGAAAATTATACATGAAGATAATTAATTCACTTATTACAATATATCTTTAGTCTGACTTTAACAGAAATTATATTTGACATTGAAATAATATTTTTTATTCCAGTCATGTGATCATATTGTTACATTTCTCCTTGTTTAATGTCACTTTAGGACGCTGCTTTTACCGATCTTATCGGCAAGTATCAACATTTCTTCTCATATTATTAAGAACTTCATTCATGGTTCAGACCATGTTGCTTATAATTAACAACTCTGCCTCTTTCACATGAAGGCGCTTGTACCTGGACAGGTAAACCCAGGGTTAACTGAGCCAGGTGATAACCTGCTTCGTAGTACAGGTGATCAGGACGGTCAACGTTAGGTTCAGTTAAGTAAAAGTTATCCTGGGTATGTTGAACTTGCTTCGTAGTACAGGCCTCAGCTATATCAGTATACTACTCCAGGTATATTAGTATACTACTACAAATAAAACAAAATTGAAAATATTTCCACTGTTTGGTTTTAGTTTAAATGTTTTCTATTTTTAGGAAACAGCTGAGGAAAGAAGAGAACAGTACAAACACAGGAGGATAACAACAACAACAAAAACAACAACCACAACAAGAACAACAACAACAATAACAGCAACAAAAATAACTGGCACAGAAACAATTGTTTGATCAGTTGATGAAGCTGCTGTTTGTTTGGTTCTGCCCTCAGTGTTTGTGTTTAGGGTCAGTCTGACATGTATGTATACATGTATGATTCATGTGTCATACATGTTTTCATACAGTATGTGATGGCACTGTATAAATAAATTTCAGTTATTGACATATTGGTATGTTAAGTTTAAGGTTTTTCTATACTTTAATATTCAGGATTTTAACACTTCAGTTTAAAGGTTATTGATATGTTGGCATGTTTACATTCAGATTATTCATAATCTGCTACATTAATATCCAGTTTATTGATAAACTGGATTACTTTTTTAATAATTTCCAAAAGGATAATCCAGGTTAAATCCAGGTTGATACTTTGTAACACTAAAAACCAAATTGTTTGTACTTCTGTGCTTTAATGTCCAGGTTAGTGATACTGTGGTATGTTGATATTCAGGTTGTTGTTAAATACTCTCTTTCCACTGCTGTGTCTTCAGAAGCTTCAGTTTAAAAATAACCTGTGGTTTATTGTAAACATAAACTGCAGAGCTGCTTTCAGTTAATGACACTCTGTATAATGACAGGTTTACACAGCTCCGATCATTCTATTCATTTCTAAAATGTCAACTCTTTTATCATGTATCTTCTTTGAGGGCAACTCTACAAAAGTTATATAATTGCATATATGACAACTTTGTTTGCTTGTGTGTCATCAGCAGCCACAACACAAATCAATAAACAATAAAATCTGGTGATAACATTTGTCAGATGCATTTTTGATTAAAAAAAGTTGTGTATTTAATAATAATTTGTTTTTAAATAAATTACTTTTATACGTGTCTTTCATATTAATTGGGCCAGAGCCACAGTGTCGAGACAGTGCCATTAACATTCAGCACAGAATTTATAAAAAATGATTTTTTATTATATTTGACAGTACGTAGACTCATAATTAGTCAAGAAAATAAAAACCTTTAGGTTCATTCACAGTAAAATTCATTGAAAGTAACAAAGTGTAGATTTGAAAACAATCAAATTCTTAACATGATAATTAAAACTACTGCTTTAATTAAATTATTTAATAGATATTTGTTTCTGAGCACTTTGCGAGAAAAGGAAATAAAAAAAGACGACCCTCATTAATGAATGCAAAAATAAATGTTGGTTAATAAATTTTAAATGTCTCATTAATAATTAGTAAAAGCAGCTTCCATCTTTCTTTACACAGAATTACTGGTCAGTCAGTCAGTCAGTCAGTCAGTCAGTCAGTCAGCTGACACTGACCAGTCTAATAAAGGAGGACACAGTCACTCGTCCTGTTTCTGGGGCTGGGGGAGGGGGAGGAGGTGCTCTCTGTGAGGCTGGGGGAGGACAAGGGGCTGTTTGTTGTCTCCTCGGTCATGCCAGCAGACGTCCAGCAGGGGGTAGACTTTCCCTTGGACCTCCAGCCTGAAGCTGTAGATGATGCCCAGCTCGTCAGGACTGTCACTGTTATAGAAGGTCAGACCTCCACCCTCATAGTCCAGGAACAGTCCCACCCGGCGAGGGGGTGCCGACACCGGCAGGACCACCCTGGGTGAAGAGAAGGCTTCATAAACACCGTCCTTCAGTCCGATCAGCCACACTCCACTATCTGGGTTCTTCACCAGCTTGGACTTACGATTGGTCGTTCCTTTGATCAAACCAAGACGCCATTTAGGTTTGTTACCCACCTCCACCTGGACGGAGAGGACAGGAAGCAGAACACTGAAGGACAGAACCGCTGCAGGTACATGAGAAGCAGAGTTTAGATAAAGTCAAATGTAGTTTCCACCAGGGTGCGCCTTATTATATGAACTACTGCTGACGGAGGAGGATCACACTTAGTTACAAGTCATCACTATATTCTGCCCTCTGGCCTCCATCATCACTGTCACAATCATGCAGTGTAGGTGATCAGAGTCATGACTGTCAATGTGCCTCCAGCAGTGGATCAAGAGAGAACGTAGAAACTGGTTCACCACAAGTGAACAGTTAAAACCGGTTCTCTATGTGGAAGGTCTACACTGGAGACATCAGACCTAAATGTCCGTCAGTGTCACACCTGCAGGACTCACTTAGATCCTGACACAGGGAAATCATCTGTGTGTTTGCTATTTACAAATCAGAAAATGGTGTTCACTCCAGTTAGTACAATTAGTCTGTAACATTTTAGTTACTATGAACTTTCAATGCACGTCTTTACCTGATCTCCTTCACTTATTAAATAGATGTAGTACTTAGTACTTACACCAAAGGCTCTTTCTGTTCTGAAGCTTGATTGATGAACCTCACAGTGAGTCTCTTTGGATAAAAGCGTCTGACAGATAAGTGAATGTCTTGTGATGATGACGTTCAGAGTTTACCTCCCAGTAGTGTTTCCCGGAGGAGAATCCTCGGTTGGTGAGGACACAGTAACTGTAACTGAACCTCTCTGGATTATCAGGAAGTCTCCGCAGTAGAGCACCACAGACCACGACTGTGTCCCCATGATGGAGCTCCAACATCGGGTGAGCAGTTTGAGGATCCAGCTTCAACAGCTCAGGAGCTGCAAGGACACAAGAGTTTTTAAATATAGAGACATTACCACCAGAAACAACCAGCTGTTTAACCAGATGTTTTCTGATAACAACATTAAACCAACTGTTCCATAAAGTCAGACAAACACAGGGACCAGGACCAGGACCAGGACCAGGATAGGTAGAGGTAGAGGTAGAGGTACAGGTAGAGGTACAGGTGCAGGTGCAGGTGCAGGGACGGGTACAGGTACAGGTACAGGTACAGGTACAGGTGCAGGTGCAGGTGCAGGTGCAGGTGCAGGGACGGGTACGGGGACAGGGACTAGTACCAGGACCAGGTACAGGTACAGGTGAAGCTACAGTTAGAAGTACAGTTACAGTTAGGGGCGGGGATGGGGACAGGTGTACCTGGCAGGACTTTTCGGTGAAGCCTCTTCCACACGGTGAGTTTGATGTCGTTGTGGTTGAAACCTGCTTTGAAGTTGATGGAGCTGAAGAGTCTCTCCTCCCTCTGATGGAGCTCCTGACTCTCTCTGAATCTGAGGACGTCAAATATTTATAACTTGATGTTTTATTGATATTGATTGTTGGTTGAAAACATGTCGAGATGTTCGTTACCTTGGAGCGATTGATCCATATTTCTGTAAATAAACAGAAAAAGACAAAGACATTGACAATGATGAGCCTTATCAAGGATGTTGACTGGATTCAGACATCTTGTATCCAGGGGTCCTACTCATCATTGTGGACTAATCAGAGACTCAAAGACTGACAGTACCATGATGAAGTCCAGGTGTCCCTCGTTGCTCAGGTCCTGCAGGGTGTTGTGGGCATCCTGCAGCCGGTTCAGGTTCTGGTTTAACTGGTCCGTCTGGTTCTGGAGGGATGAGATAAGGACAGCGGCAGATGTCTCCACCTGCTGCATGAATCCCGCCTCCTCCACTTCCAGGCAGCGTCGCAGTTCACCAAACTCCTTCCTCACCACCCACTTCAGTACGTCAGACTCATTCTGATTGGACAGAGAGCAGCAGCGAAGATCGTCAGCTCCTATTGGCTGAGATCCTGTATTCAGAGTGGACTGAGATGATGTCACACACACCTCAGTTCTTTGTCATATCAATCGAACAGTGTGGTCGATCATTGGCTCTTACAGGAGGAACTGTCATTCCTAAATATGACCATTAGGTGGCAGTGTTTAAAGAGGACACTCTGGTGTTTTAGTTTGTTTTGATGTGAACAGCTGAGATTACCAGTGTGAGACTTAACCTGTGTCTGGACTGGGATCAGGTCTTTTCTAGTCCAGCAGGTTTTGCTAATGGTTCCTCCAGTTGTATTGACAGAGGAACAACAACAACAACACCAGTACAATGACATCACCCACAGTGATCCTGGATTTGTTGTGCGCCATTTTACAGATCTGATCCTCCAGTTTACGCTTCTGATGCTGGAACTCTGTCATCAGACAGGAAATGTCCTCCTGAGACACAGACAGACAGGGACAGGAAGTTCATTATTCATGTCAGATCACATTAAAACCAGAATCATATCTTCCAGGACTGAACACAGACACTGAGGAAGGTCATTTCAAGTTCAGGCAGCGTGTCGTGTTACGGTGAACATTAACTACGTGTGACCTTATTGTTGTTCAACTGGAAACAAAGGTTAGATTTGATTAGTGGAGCACTTTAATCTCACTGTTTGATGATATGATGTGAACTAACAGCTGCTGCTTATCTGCTCCTGGTTTCACTTGTTACACAAAGAATGAATCATCTTAACAGTAATCGTCAGAACAATAATTATCAGAGCAACACTTTGATGTCGCTTTTCACTTAAACACCTCACAACCTCAAACACTTCATTTATAAATGCACACTGTGGGCGGAGCTAACAGGTCTGATTTTATTGTGCCGTACCTTCATGCGGCTGTAGACGGAGCTCACAGGTGTGATCTTGTGTCCGCGGTGAGCACCGATGCTTCCACACAGGCCACAGATCACAGTTTGTTCGTCCTCACAGTAAAGGCTTAGTGGGTTGTGGTGCTGAGGACACGACTCCAGCTGAGCTCCACCTGAAACACTCACTTCCTGTAAGGACAAACAGGTGTTAATAAAGATGGTTTCTATTTTATTAACAAGCTGAAAATATTGACATACATATTTTATTTCTATGAAATATCAATAATAATGAACTCCATTTGTATACTCAGATGACGCAAATGTTTTCTGAAGTTTCACAGGTAAACTGATCTCAGCTGTTTTTACCTGCAGAGCCTCAATAATTCGAGCCAAAGTAACATTGGGAGGAGGACTATCTCCGTCCACTGCACAGCGACATACAGGACACTGCAGCTGGCCAAGCAGGTCTATCGTCATGGAGCGCACACAACACCTGGACAGGTGAGAACAGGACAGGACAGGTGGGTTCAGGACAGGAGAGGCCAGGACAGATCAGGATAGGACAGGTGAGTCCCATCCATCCATCTTACCTGCAGTAGGAGTGTCCACACTGTAACATTAGTGGTTCAGTGAAGACGTCTAGACAGACAGGACACCTGAGCTGCTCCTCCAGACTCTGACGACGCTCCATATCGCAGATCCCCAACACCAGGACCAAAACCACTGGGTCCAAAACCGCAAGGACCAAGACCACCAGAACCAGTAAAATCCTAAAATGTAAAGTCTTCCTAACAACAAACCATCCAGACTTCAGTTAAAACAGTTAGACCAGTTAGGCCAGTTAGAGTAATACAGAGTCACTTCACTGCTGTTAGCTCTTGTTTGTGCAGCAGTGCTGACTCTCTTTATATCCAGAGGTTTTTTCCTTTTTTCTTTGATGTGATTGACTGGACAGACTGAGTGGGCAGGGCCAGAAGCTGATTGGTCCTTTATGTGTGAAATATATTTTAGATGTTGAAATATTTAAACATTTTCTTCTACATTTAAAATAAAAACATCCAGACATCCAGTTATTATTATTAATGTTGTATTACTAATAAACAGTGTGTCACTGTTTGTGTCTGATAATCTGCTTCAGCTGCTTTGACACCTGAAAGTCACCTTCACCTGGGAAACAATGTCTCCATGGAAACAGACCAAACAGAAAGGTTTCATACATACTCTTTAAACAGGACAACACACAATGACTAGCTCACATCAGGCGAGATTCTTCTCCTGTCAGATTTATCAGTTTTGATTCCTTGATTCCTGATTGATTGATCACTCTTCTTCTCTCAGCTCAGAATAACATGAGGTGAAATAAAAACTAGTGGTCCACACACTGTTGATTTTAAACTGACTCATCAGACACGAACTGTTCTCTCCTCATCTTTGGCAGCAGAAACAGTTCGACATTCACTCTATACTGCAGACTCTAAATAATGGTCCTGCACTTATTCACAGTATCTCCTTCACAGTATTTATAGTGTTAATGACCAAAAGAAAGACTATTAATGGTCACACTTACTTCCATCGGCTCCATAGTTTAAAAAAAAAAATCATTACAGGATGTTGATTGGGGTCAAAATTAAACTAAACTAAATAACAGGTGGCGCCAGCCGGTGTATGACGTCATCCAGCGGTATCAGGTGACACAACAGGAAGAGAGGAGCGAGATTTACTGGACCTCCCGGGATCCACTGTAGATTAGAAACGAGTCTACAGCAGAATTTTAATTTGAAAGAATCAGCGCGAAGGAAGGTGAGAGCCGATATAAACACGAGCTAACAGGCTGCTAACGCACAGACATGCTGCTAACACACAAACAGGCTGCTAACAGGGTACTTACAGGCTGCTAACACACAAACAGGCTGCTAACAGGGTGCTTACAGGCTGCTAACACACAGACGGGCTGCTAACACACAAACAGGCTGCTAACAGGGTGCTTACAGGCTGCTAACACACAGGTGGGCTGCTAACACGCAAACAGGCTGCTAACGCGCAAACAGGCTGCTAACGCGCAAACAGGTTGCTAACGCGCAGACAGGCTGCTAACAGGTTGCTAACGCGCAGACAGGCTGCTAACAGGTTTACAGTCTGAGTAAATAAACAGCAAACAAGATGGAGGTCAACAGGAAACATCACACATTGATAAGTTAAAACTACGAAAAATTAATGGAGTTTGGTATAGAGAATATATATATATAGAGAACTCTGACGTCAGGTTAAATTTAATGTTAACGTTAAAGCAGGATCATACATGTAAACCTGAACATGTGAACAGCGTTAAAACTGAAAAATAATAATAAATATATAAGAATAACATATAATATATATAATAAAAAATTAATCTACCGGGTTGAAATCACACCTGTGTTAATGTAAAGTTGATGACGTCAGTATACACTATGAGGACTGAAATGGCACAGACTGACGGAGGATGTATTGATCATTGATGTGTTGCCTTTCACTTTTGATAATGCAGGAACCTATTGATCATAGGATGATCACATATTGTTTGGTTTCTCTGGCATGGGGATGACATAACGTATTGATTATTGACTGGTTATTGATGATCTTTGGACAGTTTGGAGGATGGGATAACCATTGATAACTGACTTGTTATTTCTTCCAGTATAGATGATGTACAGGTGATGTATTGATCATGCAAAGATAATGTATTGATTAATTGGTTATTGATTATCTCCGGACAGTATGGAGGATGATGAACTTCCGTCAGAGGATGGGATGGGTGGGCGTGGCTCTCTACCTACTGCTCAGTGTCATGGCGGTGTACTACGTCTTTGAGGTGCACACACGCAGTTTGGAGCGCGTGCAGAGAGGTGGGGTTGGCCCAGCGGCTAGGTCCCCTGCCGTCACCTGGTCTCTCCTGCCATCGCTTCCTGTCTGGATGTGGGCATCAGTCTTCCTGCTGCCGTACCTGCAGCTCTTCCTCTTCCTGTTCTCATGCACGAGAGCTGACCCCCGGGCCGTCGGGTACTGTGTACTTCCTGTCTGCATTGCCCTGGTGTGTAGCCGCCGCCATGCCGCCCAGACACCCGCCAATCACAGAGCAGGGTCAGTGATCAACACGTAGAGGGGACCAATCACAGAGGCAGCAGTGGCTCGTTTGTGTTGATGTTTGTGATATCACTTCCTGTGTGCCTTTTCAACAGTATTATGCCCTGTGGATGTTAGCTCTCTGCTCTGTCTGTCAGGAGCTGAGTTCAGGACTGCCCTCATTGTGGACTGTCAGGACCAAAGCTCAGCCCTGAGTATTGACTCTGCCCTAGTGCGAACCCTCAGGAACAACGGAGCTGCCCTGAGCGTCGACTGTCAGGATGAACAGTTTTTCATACCTCAGTCTGCAACCTGTCTCTTTCTCCTGTTGTTTTGTTATTGTGACTTCACAGACAGTGCTGTGCTGTGATTGGCTGGAGGGTGTTGAATATGGTGACAGCAGCACCTCCAGCACCCACACTTACTTTAACCACTTACCTGAAGCATCAGTACCGTTGCCATGGCTACCACAGGTTAACATTTAGAACAGAGGTTACCTGAGAGCTGCCAGCCAATCACAGAGCAGGATTTTCTGTGGTACTTACACATGACACACACTGGTTACCATGAAAACTTTAAAAACAAATTAAAAATCTTTATAAACTTAACATTACTTTTTTTTCTCCATTATATTGATGTTGAAATAAAATATTTTAAAAAAGGTTTCACTGGAGGAGGAGGTGGTAGGGGAGGAGGAGTAAGTTTTTTTATTTTTTTTTTATCTGCTTCCTCTCACCTGTAATGAGACCAACACCTGTGAACCAAACACCAAATGTTTCCTGTAATTTGGGTGGACTGTCGTCCCTTCCTGTCCTCACCAATGACTATATAACAATGAATGACATCACAGCTCCCTAAAAGTGAAGCTAAAACATCTTATCACTCGCCCCCTGGTGGCAGCCTTCAGTATAGGTCATAACCCCTGCCCTCTCCTCGTTAGCAGATGGGACATGGACCAAACTATCAAATCACAGGAAATGTCAAATAAATTCTTCCTGAAGATGGTTTCTGTCATTTGAGAAAGTTCTTATCACGATGACTTCCAGTAACTGAACTGGTTCATACTGGTTTTAGATTCAGTGTACCAGCCAGAGATGACGATTCCACCATGAACTGATTATGGTTCAATGACGACTGATAAGAGTGTGATTAATGAGTTTTAAAAATCCCACTTTATTTTAGTCTTTACCTGAGACAAAACTGTAAGCTTTAATTGGTTTCTACTCAGTCATGTGACTGATCACCTGACATCAGCATCTTCAGTTCAAACAGGTAAAATTATGTCATCCTGTCTCAAAGAGAGTCCTCAGGGGTTTCACGTCTTGGATCTTTTAGCTGGAGGTTGTAGTTCAGAGTTTTGAAGATCCTCTGGTTCGTCTTCATCACTGTCCTCCTCATCTTCCTCAGCTGCAGCAGGTAAAACAGGTGAATCTAAAATCCACTATAAAAGGTGCTCTGACAGGTAAGTTTGTTTTAAAAACGAGCTGTTTACCTGAACAGACAAGTTAATAAAAGACATGAAACTGCAGCTGTTTCCAAACAACCACTTTAAGAATGATAAGAACACGTTAGCTCTCATAGTAAGCAGCAGGTTACTCACCTACGCAGTCTCCGCGGGATTTTTCCAGCTCCACCAGCTCACTGAGAAGCCGTGAGACGTTCACGTTCAGATCGTTTATTCCGTGGATGAGAGAACTCATATCATTTTGTACTTTAATGCAAATTTTCTCTCTCTGTCCATCTCGGAACTTCAGCTCTGCCGATACCATCACGCCCGCCATCTTTACTACGTACTCCAGTTTCGTCATCACGCGCTATCTGCTGCCTTCAAGTACCCTACGTAAAGTACGCTTTATGGTTTAACTCATTCAGACTGCTCCAGGACTGTTTTATCTCGTTGTCTTTGTTGTTGTTTTTCCTTATTGTTGTTATCACTATTATTGTTGTTGTTATATAGTATATAATATTATGAGAGCACACTTTAGCTCGTAGAAAGACTTTGAAAACATTATTATTTATTTTTACAGTTTTTACGTCACAAAATATTAACAAAACTGATCAGAACATCGATCTGTGACCTCTAGTCCATCTGTTATCTATAAGACTGATCAGTGTTTAGTTTTACCAGGGGAATAATGGAGTATTTTGACTGGGGTATCTTGAGACATTTGAACGCACCACAGAGCCGCTGTTCACGTCAGCACGTAGTTATATTCTAATCCTGACGTCATTAGTTTGTTTTCCGTCGCATTTAGACTCTATTGAAGTTTTTACTGCTTATCGTTTTTATTTTCGTCGTTTTACTCGTTAACCTCTGCCCCCATATTGCCGCCAAATACAACCAACGGAAGTGAACCGGAAGTTGTCATCAGCTAGCAGAAGCTAGCAGTTTGACGACAAAGATCCGATCCGGTGAGCATCAGACGGAGCTGATTATTGATTATTATTGATACGTTTCCCGCTTTACAGTCGGATTAGACCGTGTAAACTGTCTGGGAAAACTTCCGGTCCGGGCGCAGTTCGACTCCATTCGGTGAGTTTGTGTTTTTATTCACAGAGCTAACACCATTAGCATTAACACGGAGCGGAGAGAGTGGTGTTTACAGAGGAGGCTAACTGATGCTCACTGGTTGCTGATCGATCGGTTGCTGATCAGACTGATCGATGACGTTTTTAGAGTGTTTAATAATCAGCCTCAGAAAGAGAGTTAGAAACTGAAACTTTGACTAGTTCAATTCTCTATTTCCACATTTCAGTGAACTCAATGAAACTCATCATTGAAACTAATAGAAGGAGACAGGGCAGATCAACAGGCCACAACAACACACACGCAAATTATATACTGTAAATATACATGTATATACATGTAGAACATGTATATTACGTTGGTGTTATTTGTTGTATTTCGATGCTTTGGCAACAATGTTTTTCTAAAACTGTCATGTCAATAAAGCACCTTTGAATTTGAGAGAGAGAGGGACAGAGATTGAGGCACTGTTTGTTTCATTGTATTTACTTCAATAACAGAGACAGTAGAGACAGTATTGATCCAGCTGTGCAGTTTCTGTGTCTCATGTTACTGTTTACATGTTTACTATTGTTGTTGTGATGAACCTGAGGCCTGTACTATGAAGCAGGATTTAAGTTTATGGAGTTAACGAAGGTGGTTCACTTGTTACCGGGGTAAATCACCATCGTAACTTACACTGAACTCCTAACCTGCTTTGGCGCAGGTTAACTTAGAGGATCAGATCAAAACCTGTCAACAGCCAAACTACTGACCAATCAGATCACTGGAAAAACTGAGTCCTCAGTCCTACAGGATCCTGACAGGGACAAAACAGTGTACAATTAAATGATCAATAATAACAAGCAGTAGATATAAAATATAAAAAATCAATTGAATAGTTTTCCTGTTTGAGTCTTTCCATGTGTCTCTGGTTTTAAAACAAAGCTTCTTAAAATGTATGGAGAGTTTATCACGTTTAATAAATATATAAAATAACTATAAATATAACTGTAGCTTCATTTTGATTGAAAAAAAGATCCTTTATGCGACAGGATTCCTGCCAGTGATGAAGCTTTTACTCTCCTCTTCATCACTGAGCTCAGAACAACATGAGGAAACTCTGTGACACGACTGGAGAGAAACCTGAACCTCTGATGTCTTTGATTAGAACAATTAGTCTCACTGTTAATTATTTCATCATTAGAATGAACATTTCAACTACTCTCCTCCTCTTCCTCTCCTCTTCCTCTCCTCTTCCTCTCCTCTCCTCTTTCTCTCCTCTCCTCTTCCTCTCCTCTTCCTCTCCTCTCCTCTTCCTCTCCTCTTCCTCTCCTCTCCTCTCCTCTTCCTCTCCTCTTTCTCTCCTCTTCCTCTCCTCTCCTCTTTCTCTCCTCTCCTCTTCCTCTCCTCTTCCTCTCCTCTCCTCTTTCTCTCCTCTTCCTCTCCTCCTCTTCCTCTCCTCTTCCTCTCCTCTCCTCTTCCTCTCCTCTTTCTCTCCTCTCCTCTTCCTCTCCTCTCCTCTTTCTCTCCTCTCCTCTTCCTCTCCTCTTTCTCTACTCTTCCTCTACTCTTCCTCTCCTCTTCCTCTCTTCCTCTCCTCTTCCTCTCCTCTTTCTCTCCTCTTTCTCTCCTCTCCTCTTCCTCTCCTCTCCTCTTCCTCTCCTCTGCAGCAGAAACAGTCTGACATGAACTTTAACTGTTTTCTCTGTATCACATGTTCAGAACAGTTTGTTCATCATCAGACTGAAGAGTGAAAATTATACATGAAGATAATTAATTCACTTATTACAATATATCTTTAGTCTGACTTTAACAGAAATTATATTTGACATTGAAATAATATTTTTTATTCCAGTCATGTGATCATATTGTTACATTTCTCCTTGTTTAATGTCACTTTAGGACGCTGCTTTTACCGATCTTATCGGCAAGTATCAACATTTCTTCTCATATTATTAAGAACTTCATTCATGGTTCAGACCATGTTGCTTATAATTAACAACTCTGCCTCTTTCACATGAAGGCGCTTGTACCTGGACAGGTAAACCCAGGGTTAACTGAGCCAGGTGATAACCTGCTTCGTAGTACAGGTGATCAGGACGGTCAACGTTAGGTTCAGTTAAGTAAAAGTTATCCTGGGTATGTTGAACTTGCTTCGTAGTACAGGCCTCTGGTTAGTTTGACTGTTTTTATTTATTTGTTTTGTCAGAGTATAAACATGTGTGAGGAGCAGACGGTGTCCTTGGTTGATGTTTTGGAGGAAGATGAAGAGTTGGAGGAAGAGGCTTCAGCTGTTTTGGCAGGAAGTGACTCAGATCACTGCTCATACCCTCAGGTTAGTCATTATGTGTACACTTTTACTTTATAGTAATAAAATTATACTATATAATGTGAACATTGTATATAATTTATACTGTTTACATACTGTGTACAGTAGAGTTAACTGTGAATTCTCAGTAGCAACACACTGACCAGCTGATTGGAGCAGCAGCATCCTATTATCATCATTATTAGTAGTAGTAGTAGTTTTAGTATTACAGAGGGGTCAACGTGTGAGGATATGTGTTTAAACCTGAGAGGAGCTCTGTATATATACACATTTGAGTGTGTTTATGCATGTACATGCAGGGCTGTAAACTAACGGTCGCCACTCGCCAAATGCGACTAAAATATTCCCCTGGCGACTTAATTTTGGGGGGCTGTGTGTGTGTGTGTGTGTGTGTGTGTGGGTGTGTGTGTGTGTGTGTGTGTGTGTGGGTGTGTGTGTGTGTGTGTGTGTGTGTGGGTGTGTGTGTGTGTGTGTGTGTGTGTGGGTGTGTGTGTGTGTGTGTGTGTGTGTGGGTGTGTGTGTGTGTGTGTGTGTGTGTGCAGGGCTATGTGAAGCGCCAGGCTCTCTACGCCTGCAACACCTGTACACCAAAGGGAGGAGAGGCAGCAGGAGTGTGTTTGGCGTGTTCATATAAATGTCATGAAGGTCATGACCTCTTCGAACTCTACACTAAGAGGTGAGCAGTAATATGTAGACCATCAATACAGTATCAATACATCATCAGTACAGTATCAATTTGGTATCAATACAATATCAGTGTATCAATACATCATTAATACTGTATTAATATTAATACATATCACCACCAGCAGATTTTATACAGATGATAATATTTATATTGACAAACATCAAACTTTTCTTCAGCGTTTCTTCTTCTGTGTTTTCTGCAGGAACTTTCGTTGTGACTGTGGAAACAGGAAGTTCACAGAGCTGCAGTGTAAACTCTACCCTGTAAGTTCACATTGAATGTAATGATAAACAGCAACAGAGTTCAGGATTGATCAAACGTGACTTGACTAATCTGTCACCTGGTGCCATAAAACAGAAACGCTGCAGGTGTGTACAGGTGTGTAGAGATTACCTGTCAGGCCTCCAGATGGTTGTTAACAGCCGCCAGCTTTGATTGTTAAAGTGATGTTTATGTTGTTTATGCAGGATGTTTCTAAAGGTCTTCAGAATAAAAGTAAGCAGATGGTCCTCACTATGTCATAAAGACTACATGGTGTGTGTGTGTTTCAGGATAAAGATGAGGTCAACAGTCTGAATAAATACAGTCATAACTTCTTTGGAGTTTACTGTACCTGTAGCCGGCCTTATCCAGACCCAGACGACCAGGTGAGACACACACCTGACCTTCACCTGAGCACCAGGTGTACTCTGGTGTCTTTACTGAAGCTGTGTCTCTCTGTGATTGGTTGGTTTTATCTCCAGGTGGAGGACGAGATGATTCAGTGTGTGGTGTGTGAGGACTGGCTGCACGGCAGGGTGAGTGCACAGACAGTACCTGACATGGGTAGCAGTAGTACACCTGTTGTAAAGACTATCAGTGCTAACAGTTAGCCACAGAGAGGGCTAATGTGCCCAGACAAACAGCATGACTCTTTACCTGTGACAGCAAAAATCACCTTTACCCCCTAAGATGTTCTGCATGACAAGATCTCAGTCAACAGAAAATGTCTTCACCTCTGTCGGTAACCAACAGACAGGTGTACCAGGTGATATGAATTACATCCTGTACTCCTGGCTGTGACATCAAAGTCTCATGGTTTCGCTTCTTTCAACGTTTATTTTGGTTCACGTCAGAGGTGAGGTGTCTTTACCTGCGCCTTCACCTATGCCTGTACCTGTGTGTTTGCAGCACCTGGGCTGTGTGGTTCCAGACTGTGTGGAGCTGCAGGAGATGATTTGTGAGTCCTGTATGAACAAACACCCTTTCCTCTGGACCTACTCTGTTCACCTGGCAGGTAACTAATCGGCTTACACTTGCTGTGTGATGTACTTCCTGTGTACGATGAACTTCCTGTGTGTGATGTACTTCCTGTGCAGTTCCAGGTGTAGCAGCACAGGTGAAGGAGGAAACAGGAGGAAATTCAAACACAGACGTTCCCAACAAAGAAGAACAGGTGAGAGGGTTAAACAGGTGAAACTGACGATTCTGTTTTTATCCTTCAGAAATGATTTGGATTCACCACAGTCTGTAAATAAAGATGGATGTAGCCTCCGTGACGTCACCCACAGGTTTCTGAAGAGCGGTTTTGAAGCTCAGAGTGAGCCGCTCTACTGTTGCCATCTTGCCAGTACCTGACTCCGCCCCTAACGCCCAGCTAATCCAGATATGGTCAAAGAGGAGGGGCATGTGTGGCGCCTGTTTGTGGCAAGCATACGCTCACCCACCTGTCACTCAAAGAGGCCACACCCTCAATTCACCATAACTGTAGTCCTTAATAAAATGTAAACAGGTGAGTTATATAAACAGGTGTCATGAAGGAGGAAATTAGCTCTAGAGACCAAAACAGTTTTTGTACCAGGCTGTAAACATGTTTATTTCTGCTGTAAAGTTGGACATTTTAACATGGGAGTCTATGGGGACTGACTCACTGTTGGAGCCAGACTCTAGTGGTCACTTCTGGTTATTCCTTGTTGACTTAATTTTTCAGCCTCAGAGGTTGAGGCTTGGGATACACCTGCGTTACCATAGTAACCACAGGTGTATAATACTGCTGAAAGACAATTACTAAATCTGAACATGCTGAATGGATGAAAAAGAGAATAAAACATGTTTGAATTAAAAGAATTGGCTCAAACTTCTGCACATGCTCAGATTAGTCAGGTATTTACTAGTGTTGGGCGGATCGATCCAAATATCAATAGTATCGATACCAAGTCGGTATCGGATCGATACTAGCCTGGTGAGATCGATTCTTTACTTTAAGTTCCGCTCTTGTTTGCAATGCTGCGGTTTCGGCAAAGAGGAAACAGCCAGGTCGCCGGACTCGCCGCTCCTGTGTCAGCGCAGAGCAGGCACACTTTGCTCCCCTCCCCCCTCTTGTGTTTAGATGTTGCGCCGTCACGTGAGTCACGTGACGTGACTTAGACGCGCAAAGCAAACAATCAAGCAAGTTGCCGGCTCAGGTTCATCAGCACACGCACAGAGAAAATACACCAGAAGAATGGCAGAGAGGAAGAGGAGCGCCGCGTGGCTGTATTTTCAAGCCGAAAACGAGACAACAGCAAAATGTTGGATTTGTAAAAAGCTAGTCAGGTATAGTTGAAACACTACCAATTTATATAAACATAAAAAACCATCCAAAAGAAAACATTATTTATTTAAGATTTTTCTGAAAAATTTTTGATAATAAAGCATTTTCTATTTAATTATAAACTTTGTCCTAATTCTGTCCTGGGTTTTAACTATTTAATAATAAAAAAGGAAACATCACGAAAAACACTTAAGGTCATGAAAATTAATTGAGATTTAGCAATTCAATGACGCATCCACCTTATTTATTGAAAAGTATCAGTATCGGTATCAGTGATACTGGCCCGTATTTACTTGGTATCGGATCGATACCAAAATATGCAGTATCACACACCACTAGTATTTACAGATCAGTTTATTACTGACAGACGTCTGTAATGAAATATAAATTATCAAGTACTGATAATGAAATTGATCTTTGGTTCAGTGGTGAACTGTGAGTCATGAACACGTTTACCCTGGAGGGTCATTTGTGTTCAGTCTACAGGAGAGTGCAGCCTGATAATCACCGTGAAGTACTGCTTGTATATACAGTAAAGTATACGAGTAAATACAGTACTGTATATGTGGAGTATTTGTTACTGTATATGGTATAATGTTCAGTCTGTTTACATCTGCACTAAAACAACTGTTCACTGTGACTGATGTGATTAACTAATGATCAATAATCTGTTAGGTCGATGATGTCATCGAGCCCAGCAGTAAGCGGAGCCGTGAGGAGGTGAAGCCTAGCTGCAAACTGAAGGAACTGCAGGGGATTGGTCAGAATAGAGTCCAATCAGGAGCTGTGTTCTGGCCTTCAGCATGGCGCTCCAAACTCTGCTCCTGTAACACCTGCCAGGTAACACTCACCTGTCTGACCCTCTGTTGGCCGAGGCACCGATGATGTCACTGTGAGCTCATGTGTTTGTTGACGACTGTTGAACTTGAAATGAACAACATGCTGGTGGTGACGAAACTACATGATGGGCTCCAGTGAGATAAACATACAGTGCTGCAGGTCGGGGAGGATGAGCTTGCTCTGGTTTTATTCTGAAAGTCCTGACTGGAAGTTCCTCTGCTTTGATGCTTCTTTCAGATGTTTGTCAGCTCGCCATTGTTCTTCAACCACAATCCTCTCTTCTGTTCACAAATTGTGTCACAACCAATCAGACATCCTGCTGAGTTCATGTGGAATTTTCATTCAGGACAGTTATTTATTTATGAGGTGATATTGTAAGGGTTTTAATTTGAAAGTTCGGTTGCTGCCCCGGCTCGTCCCGCTTCCTGCTTACCTGTCTGCAGGGAATCAGGTTCATCATGGTTTGACCCTTGCTCCACCAGTCCGCGTATTGAAGTGTCCTTGGTCAAGATACTAAACCCAGATCCCAGAACCCCTGGTGGCTGTTCCATCAATGTTCTTGCAGCAAGTCTCTGGTTCTGCAGATGGACTGTAAGTCCACCGTCTTTGACTGCATCTGGTGACAGGGGTTCTGGTTCCTCTCAGGTGGAGAACTGGTTCATGTGGAGCTACATCAAACCCACTGAGGCTGCAGAGCAGAACAAGGACTGCTGTCTTCAGCTACAGTTAGCGGGTTAGCTGTTTAACAGTTAGCATGGTTTGGTTAGCAGAGACTGAACTTTTAACTTAAATAGCTCATATGTGTATGATTCATCTGAGAACTAGATCAGGCTGTTTCATCCCTGTGTATCTCTTACCAGTCTCTAAATTCGCTGTAACTTATCCGTCTCAACTAACCTGTCTGTCCTCAGGAGCGTCTATCTGAAGCTGGTCTGTCCTTCCTGTTGGACGAGTCGGACACCGTCCTCGCCTACGAGAAAAAAGGAAAGAACAACGAACAAAGACAACAAGGACAAGACCCTCTGATGTCGGCGCTGGACAATCTGAACCGGGTCCAACAACTCGAGATCATCCACGGTAACTACAACTACTACATATGAAACTACAACTCTGCAACTGTCAGCCATGTTTGTGTTTGTGTTTGTGTTTGTTTGTCTCATGTGAGTTTGTTTGTTTCAGGATACAACGACATGAAAACTGAACTGAAGGACTTCCTGCAGAGATTCGCAGCTGAAGGAAAGGTCAGTTTAACCCAAAACATGACCTCTGTGCTGCTGACCTTTGACCTGCCTACCTGACTGATTACACGTGGCGCTGTTTTCTGATAGGTTGTGACTCCTGATGACATCCGTCAGTTCTTTGAGCAGCAGCAGAATCGCAAGAGACGACGAGTCGACGCTGGACGTTTCTACTGCACCTGATCACCTTTGACCTTTGACCTCCAGCTAACCATGTGATGACCACTGACCTTCCATTGATCTCCTGACTGGGATTGTCTTACATCATTTCCTGTGATGTTTCCTGTCGATCAGCTGATGTTTGTGGGTTTTCTGGACATTTTAAAGTTTTTATCCTCAGTTTATTTGTTTCAGAGGTCAAAGGTCACCAACATTAATGTCTGTGTTGTCTTTGTGTTTCCTTTTTAATGAAAACCAATAAAACTGAACCACAACACCAACATGACATCTGCTCATTTTTAATTGTTGTAGCTTTAAATCTGATGGACATTAAACTTCTGCACAGCTGTTTAGAGTCATTGTGAGATTGTAAATAAATAGATAAATGCATAAATAAGTCGAATAAAACTGAAGCAGCGACTGTCGCAGCTCGTCTCCACCTCTGTTTGTTCATCATCATCTTCATCAAGCTGTCTCTGCTCATGTTTTTGATACTGAACAGAGTCGAACCTGCATGTCTGTTTTTACACATCAAACACTAACATTAAGTCTTCATCCTCCCTCACATCACTCATTCACGTTCATTCAGTCCTTTTCTTCTCCTCTGTCAGCTCTTTGTTTTCAGAGCAGCTGCTCTTCAGGTTTTCAGATGATCCCGTTGATAAATTCATGTTTGTTGTTTCTGGTCTGCTCACTTTCATCTGCATATCATCAACCAACTTTAGTCAGCTGTTTGTACTTGTCCAATCATCACCCTCCTCTTCTCTGTCCTATCCTGTCCACCCCTCCCCGTCCTGCTCCCCTCTAGATTCAGCCTCAGTCTGACAGAGGAGCTCAAACTGAACACATCAACATCAAACATCAACATCTCAAACTGAGAATCAGGGACTAAACAACAGCCAATCAGAATCAGTCAGGTGTTTCTCAGTGAGCAGGTGTTTGTTACCGTGACAATGGTGAGTGGGGCGCTGAGGATGATGATGGGAAACCTTTCAGTATCAACACTTACTCGTCCAAAAGAAATCCTGCAGGAGACAAGGAAGATGATTTACAGCAAACCTCCAAGGAACAAGATCGGAGCCGCGGTGAGTCTCAGACTAATAACTAAACTGGTCCATAAAAACCGGAATCAGATTCTGGTCTATAAAAACCAGGTTCAGGTGTGTCAGATGATGAGTATTTAAAAAGCTTTTATAGTGACGCTCATTTCACAGCAGCTGCAGCTTCAACAGAAAAATGACATTCATGTTATTTGTTTGTTTGCTCCTCTGAGGGAACAAATAGAAACATCTGAACATACTAATGTGACCAGAAATACTTAAAACACAGTAGGCTGTGATCCAGCCTCTGATCACAGCTAGTCAACAATTAGCTGCCATTACTATTTCTATCAGCAGGAGCACTAGTTACCATTACATTACTATTGCTGTTACTGCTGCTACTCTCACTATTATTAATATTGCTATCATTGTACGTTCTTGTTCTTTTCCTCTGTGATCTCTCTCTCTCTCTCTCCAACCCATCCTGTCGAGGCAGATGGCTCCGCCCACCTTGAGTCCAGTTCTGCTTGATGTTAAAAGGAAGTCTTTTCTTGCAGCCTAGTTCTGCTCTTTGTGGGATTTGTTACGTCTCTGTAAATAATATAAAGAGAAGGTCTAGACCTGCTCTATTTCGAAAGTGCCTTGAGATAATTTATGATGTGAATTGGTGCTATACAAATAAAAATTGACTGACTTGACAACAGCTGGTCAACAATAACCCAACAACATGAAGGAGCATCAGGTCAAACATGTCAACGTGTTTGTGGATACAGTACACTAACCCTAACCCTGTACTGAAACTAAATAAAGATCAATATTATCAAAGCAATCAAATCAAGATATGGTTATTGATCAAATCACAAATGTTTGAATTCATCTGTTTTGTCCATTCTATGTTTGTCAGTTTCTGTCCTGTGACGTTTCAGATCTCGTCTCTGATTGGTTGTTTTTTGTCTTGACAGCAAAGTTTTTTAGTCATGTTGGTATTTGCCGCTGCCATGTTGACTCCAGCTGCCTGGATTCTTCATCACCTGCCACAGTACCGACAGAGGGCCAAACAGGTTCAACAGAGTCCCAGGACCTGACCTTCATCTTCATCATCATCTTCCTCTTCCTCCTCCTCAATACCAACAACTGGATGTCCATTTGTCAATATATTTTAAATTTCAATCAATAAATGTATTGGATAAATAGATTCCAAGTTTAATTGACAATATTGAACTTTAATCAATAAACACTTTATTATGACATCTAACTGTACTTTTAAAACAAGAGCAGTCTGTTTTTCTCCTCATCTTGTTTTCGTTTAGTAAAACAAAATATGTTTGCTATTGTTGCTTCTCTCTGGTTCAAATCTGACTCTGACCAAACAGGAAGTATGTGAAGATAAATAAAAGCTGGAGTTTGTGTGTTTGTGTTTGAGCAGGATGTTTCTGTTTGTTTAGATTTCTTATGCTGGTTTTACACAGTTAATTACTTCCTGTTTGAGAACATAATTTCCCACAGAGACAAACTCATTAAACCTGAGAAAGACACCTTCATCTTCATCCTCCTCTTTACCATATCCCACAGTCTACAACAGAATAAAACAATACATTTTCCCTGAATATCTCTCACAGCTCACAGGTCATCTTTTATTCATCTCTCTGCCTTTGACGTCCTCTCAACTGTTTCCACTTCTCATCAGCCTGCAGTCACTAGAGGTCTGGACTATGAACAAGGATCAACATATTCTGGATAATTTCCCTTAATCTGGTTTAACTAAACCTGATAACCTGTACTATGAAGCAGATTATCACTTGGTTCAAGTATCTCTGGTTTACCTGTCCAGGTATGAGCTCGTTCAAGTGACATAGTAATAATTGTTAATCATCGTCATCAGAACCATGAATAACATATTAATATGAGAAGAAACATTGACACATGCAGGTGAACTCCGTTACAGTGATGTCATAAAGTGAAATTCAACACGTTGAAATAACAAACTAGAACAGAATAAAAACAAAACTAATTTTTACTGACTAAATTCAGACTAAGAATAAACTAAATAAGAAGATGAATTATCATCAAGTTTCTTTTGTCTGATGATGAACAAAATATTATGAACATGTGATACAGATAAAACAGGTAAAGTTAATGTCAGCAGAGTTTCTGCTGCAGAGAGGAGAGAAGTAGTTGATGTCTGACGAGTCAGTGTGACTGAAATGTTCATTCATAATCATGGAAATATTGAACAGTGTTATAAGTGATGGAAACCAAATGAGTTATTCTTGAATACATTTTTTTCTGAATCAGCTAAGACTAGTAATTTTCACCTGGGTATTTGTGGCCACTGAGGTTGTTATTCCTTGTCTTGTTAGTTCAGGTCTCAGGTCCTGGTCCTGGTTGTGATTCTGGTCCTGGTCCTGGTCCTGGTTAGGGTTAGGTTGGAGTTAAAACACAACACTCTGAAGAGTGTTATGAGGAGCTCTGGCACAAGTTTATCATGGATGTTAAAAAACACTTTGGGATTTTCTTTTATTAAAACCATTTATGAATGGTTAAAGTATCCCTAAATAAGTAAAAACAAAATTATATAATAAAATAAAAGATTGATAAAAGAATAAAAAAACAAAAACAAATAAATAAGTAAAAAAAATTAAAAGACAGGGAATGGACCTTCAACACAGGGAGGCAGCGGGAGGTTTGATTTTTATAAAATTCTCCTGACTGCCATTTACTCTCCCGACTGTTGGATAAAAAGGGAATAAAATATGTTAAAATGACAATTTCTCCAATAAGCACAAAGTTAATAGAATATGTAAAAGAAATCAATTAATAAATAGAATTATAAGTAGGAAAAATAAATATGGAACATAGAGATACCGCTATTAAAACATATAAGCACTAGGATAAAAATAAGACAAAACAGGGTTAGTAATGATTAAAATATATAAAAGAGACATGCAATTTATATAAAATGTATGGAAAAAATCACACTAAATCAAGTAATATAAGTGCTATAAAAAGTGCTTAAAAATTTAGTAACACAGGTAGTAAAATAAGTTTTCATCTTACATGCTCGCGGTATCTGTATGTGATAAATAAATTAAATTTTAAATTTTAACAGAAAAGGTTAAGTGCCATTAATAGATAAAATATATCATTAAATTATAAGTTAAAAATTAAATTGAAAAAATTGTCATAAAACATAAGTTCCCTAATTTGTTATGTGTTTTTTATTTAAAATAATTTTTAATTTTTAAGGGTTCCTATATTTTTAAAGGAAGTTAAAAAATGCAGGCAGCTCTTATATTCCATTTCTTATTTCTTTCGATCTTTTAAAATAATATTACTCCTCTCCATGTGAATAAAAAGTGCTATAAAGGTAGGGCATGCAATAAAATAAAAACTTAAACGGTACCAGCCGTTAGTTAAATATATAAATAATTGAAATTGATAAATCATAGTTAAATAAGTACACACATAAAAAAAAATTATGGAAGACATGGAGGTGCCCCCTGAGCTCCGGCCGGGTTGGAGGTTTGGGTGTAGGTATGAATGTGAGTCCCTTTTCCAGTATCTCCAGCTGTGCGGCTGTTAAGGAGAGTGTAGAACAGAGATTAGTAATGTTAGAGTTGAGGGGGGTTGTGTTTGAACAATGCCCCCCCCGTTTCCAGTTTAATTGTTGTGACCAGTAATTGAAGATGAGTGTGGCTGTGTCCTTGGGACAGGTCTGGAAAAGAAGCGGGTTTATTTCTGAAAGGAAGGTGCATTTGTTGGTTATAATACTGTTCAGTTTGGTGAGAAGTTCCTGTTTTTTGGACTCCAACCTGTGGGAAAAGTTTATTACAGGGATGTAAGTGGTTGCATTTGGAAAATGGTGTGGCAGGTTTTCAATAGCTGTTGCAGTTGTTTCCAGGTGGTTGTGGTTTCTTGTTCTTGCAGGCAGTTGTTAAGTCCTGCAGATATTACTATATGTTTTGTATTATGATGAGGTGTGAATTTCTTTAATATTGCGTTTATGTGATGAAATGTGGCTCCAGGATAGCTGTTGATCTGAATGTTTGGATTAGTGAAGCGTGGGATGCGTGACAGGTTGGAGTCCCTCATAATGAGGGTCTACTTCTGTACCTCCAACGACCATTCCTGTAGTTTTCTAAATGTATGTGGGTGTGTATGTGGTTCTGGGCGCCCTGGGGGGCCAGGTGGAGCCACAGAAGCCCTGTTAGAGTTTGAGGTGGATGACTCAGACGTTGAGGAGGAAATCAGCTTTTTGCTTTTCATCTTTTCAACCGTCATCATCGTGTCATTATCCACCTCAGTGGTTTTTTCTCTTTCACAGGGCTCTGTGGCAGACAGCTCTGGCTCCCTCTGCTGTTGGTGTGGTGTGGTGTTTTTTGTGGATGGAGAGGATGAAATGGTGTTACTGCAGGGTAGAGCAACGTTACTGATGATCTGTGGTTGCTCTCTGTGAAGACTGTTTGATGAAAGGGGAGGCTCGGAGGGGGATTCCTTAGGGATTGGATGGATAACCACTTTCACCTGGCGTCTCGGGTTTCTTTTTGGCAGCTGGATCAGGGGCTGAGTCACCGTTTCAGGGTCCTCCGATGTCCCCCCCATCGTACAGGGGTCTGGATGGGCGGGTTTTTGGGTTGGAGTAGGTCGGGGAGGAGAAGGAGAACAAGGTGAAGTGGGTTTAGTAAGGGAGGAAGGAGAAGGGGGGGATTTGGGAGGATAGAGGGGGGAGGAGAGATGGAGGAGAGCCGTTAGGCAAGGAGGGGGAGGGAGGGGGAGAGGAGGAAGGCTTGGGGGAGGAGGAGGGGTAGTGGGGGAGGGAGAGAAAGGAGGGAAGGTTTGGGGAGGGGGGGGAGGTAGTAGGAAGGGGGAGGGAGGTGTTCGGGAGGTTGATGGGAGCAAGAGATGGGCCGGATGGTTCTGGTAGTGGGGGAAAGTCCAGGGGGGAGAGCCAAGGTGGAGAGGTGTCCCCCTCCGTTTGGGGACCCCTGGCTATCAGGTCCCTCAGAGTGTCGACGGAGGAGGACGTTAACTTCCTCCTGTATCTCGCTCTCCCCCACTGGACTGCTTTATCAAATATTTGTTGGTTGAACTCTGGGAGATTCTCCAGCTCCACAGCAATCAGTGTGTCATGATGTTCCCATAAAATTATCATATTGTTATGCATCCGTTAGGGTTAGGTGGAGAATAGATGGTGGCTCACTTGTCCAGAATGGGTTTTAAATGCACTGGCCTGGGAGTGTGCCAGGGTCATGACCTCCTCACCTGTTGTGACCTGTTGTCCTTCGGGTGGCTGGATGGAGTAGACGACTTATAGGTTTTGTTTATAATTTTTTTTTTTTCCCAGCTTGTTGATGTTTCTGCTGGGACAGTAAAGACCATTAAATGTCGTATAAGGTAAGAAAGAAGACAACAATATCACACAGCAAAAACAAGAATAAAAAGTATAAGTTATGACATTTTATGATTAGACGTTTTCTTTTCATGAATATAGTAATGAACTCAGACTAATAGGATGGAGTAAAGAGACATATTTATTTTCTTATGAAGAATTGTTTCTGTTAATAGTGCTGACTGTATTTCAAACCCTTGAAGAGGATGCCAGGTAAACAGATTTTTGCATTCTGTCCATCAGATGCAGAGATGTTCTGTTTGGTTGATGTCCCTGTGCTATGGTGGATGAGGTAAGTGATTTATTGCTGATTAAGGCCATTGGGTGTTATGGTATTCAATTTCCTGATCCAGCTCCTCTCTGCTCTCTTTCTTTGTCCAGCACTCCACGCTGCGTTGCCTTCAAGGCCACTGATGGTGAGCAGGTTGACTGGATGTGATTGGAAGTGCCGGACCAGAGGGGTGTCCAGTCCGCCTCTCCCAATGCTGTAAAGATGTTGTTTTAATCTGGTCCTGATGCTGTTCCTGTTTCCCCTATGTAGATGGTGTGACATTGTCTGCATGTTATGCAATAAACAACGTTTTTGGTGTCAAGAGTGAAGTAACCTGTAACTGGAAATGTTGCTCTACTGTGAGGGTTGGAAATATACGTGATGTTCCTGAAGTGATCCCGTTGAGTGTCTTCCCGTGATTCCCCCTCCCTGCTGAATAAAGATCAGACTAGTAGGTCTCTTAAGTTTTTATTTTTTCTATGTGCAGTAATCACTCGGTGGTTTTTGAATAACAGGTATGTCCTGTGTGCTTTCAAAGTTGTTTTTCCACCGTTGGATTAGTGGCTGATGTTTATGGGAAAACGTGATGACCAGAGGGAGGAGTTCCGGAGGGACAGCTGGGAGATCCTGGACGGAGTGGTCAGGTGGGTTGTCCCACCGGTGCAAACCTGTATTTAACTGAGCATGATTAGCCGTTATAGCAGAAGAGCGAGTGGGAGCGAGAGTGGCCGGCGTGGTGTTCTTGATGTGTCTGAGGAAACGGGATGAGTATCCTCTTTTTTTGAGGCTTTGGAATAAAGTAGTTATAGCTGTTTGTAAGTGTTCTGTAGTGGAACTAATTCTGTGAAAACGGATTATCTGTGATTTAATTATGC